GGCGCTCAGAGGGAGGTGTGTGTGGCGGCGGGAGGGTTTGGCGGCGCAGCATTCCGTGGGGGGGTGGGTGTTCGGCGGCGCTCTGTGGGTGGCTGGGGGGTTCAGCAGGGGGGTTCGGCGGCGCTCCGCGGGGGAGCTGGCATGTTCGGCAGCACGGCGCTCCGCAGGAGACTAGGGGGGTTTGGCAGCACAGCGCTGGGGGGGTTCGGTGGTGCGGTGCTCTGCGCGTGGGGGGGGGGTGGCACGGTGGTGAGAAGGTGTGTTATGGCGGTGCTATGGAGGGCGGCACTCTTTTTTTTTTTGCTTGGGGCAGCAAAAAAGTTAGAGCCGGCCCTGGCTACACGCCACAGTGTGAATGCAGCCTGCTTTTTTCTGCAGCATGTAGCTACACCTACCCTACATACCGCCGCTAGAGGTGCAGTGTAGACATAGCTGTTGTAGGGTAACTGGCCAAACCAGGGTGCCCACAGCATAACAGTTACTTTTCATTTCTCCTCCTACATATGTATTTATATATTTTTGTATGTATTTTTCAATAATAATACTTAGTTATTCACACCCCTGCCAATCACGTGTCCTCCTTGGCCTTTCGGCTTCTCCTCTGGGTTGGTTTGCTGCAGTCATCTGTGCAGGGGCGGCTCTAGGGTTTTTGCCACCCCAAGCATGGCAGTTAGGCGGCCTTCGGCGGCATGCCTGCGGGCGGTCCGTGGTCATGCGGATTCGGTGGCATTTCTGCGGGTGACCTGCCGGTCCTGCGCCTTCAGCATACCCACTGCCGAATTACTGCCAAAGCTGCAGAACCAGCGGACCTCCCGCAGGCATGCCGCCGAAGGCCGCCTGACTGCCGCCCTCACAGCGACCGGCAGGCTGCCCCCCGTGGCTTGCCGCACCAGGCACACGCTTGCTGTGCTGGTGCCTGGAGCCGCCCCTGCATCTGTGGTGCTCTGTGATGGGAGAGGATACCTCCATCCATGCCCTTTCAGACCAATACCAGCCTTTAGCGCCTCCACTTAGAGATTGGGGGATTTTTTGTCTGTGTGAAATTATCAAATACAACGGTCCTCTTAAAAACAAGGTTCATTAAAAAAATAAAAAGAAAATGGTAATAAAGCGAACAGAAATGGTTTGTATATCAGACCTCATCTGAATTCTTTCCAAAGCCCAAGAAGGCAGGGCTCTCTTTGGGGGGTGTCTATGCAAACACCTAATTTGTGGCAAGCTGGGGTGTACATCTACCTTGCACTAGCCTGATGTACACTAAGTCTTCATGTGGGCCCTGCTGCCGCACACAGATTATTTGTGCTTAAAACTATATACTATATGGCAGAGGGGTCCCTTTTTAATGATTATTTTTATATTTGCACACTAGATGGCAGTATTCCCTCATTTAGACTGTATAATTCACATTGAATACAAGAATGTAGTTGGGGGGAAGGTGGGAAATATTTGTTTAGTGATGAATTGCACATACCAAACATAATTTATTTTAATTTGATTCAAATGCTCATATTAGAGAGTGATCCATTTGGCTTGTATGGAATTTATTGTGGTTTTACATCATAAACGTATTAGCAATGTTCTAGATCTAGTGCGTATTTGTCATACCTTGCGACAGAAACAAGGTGCATGGTCTTAATTTAGTAATTAATGTTTGCATAGCATTTGAGATCATCAGCAAAGGGTGCTATAGGCCACATCCTACTTGCTTTACTCGTGGGTGGTTCTGTTGACTTCAGTAAGCCCAGTTTGTTGAGTAGGATTTGGGTCCACATTATTAACCCTGAAAGAATTTTAAGAATCTAATTTACTTTTTGCTGTTTATGTTGCATTGTTCCCATTTTGTATTTCACTCAGCTTGGATAATGAAACTAGGTTGGCAAGATTCCCTTTTATTTTTCAGTTTCTAGTCAATTTCATGAACTTTTTTGTGTCTCTGGGTTTGCAACACTGAAGGGTGATTTAAAAAAAAAAGCAGCAACTGTTCTTTTAAAATGTAAAAAGATCCTGAAGATATTTCTATCCATAAAAGCTTTTGTAATGCCCCTTCTTCCTCTTCCCCCATTGCTTTTAACAAAAAAAAAAGTTTGAAAATAAAACCAAATTATTCAGCAAGATCTCATTTTCAAACTGTCTTTTATAGGGAAAAATTGAAATTTACCTGTTGGAAGATGCTACTTTGAAAATCTTAGAGGAACATTCCCGTATGGAAAATGCCTATAGAATTTAATAGAAAATAATTGTTTATAATTTTTTTAACCATCTCATAGAATTGAATAAGGAATTAGATCCCTATTATAAAATTCTATAGGATGTTTCTATAAATAACATCTCGCTATTAAATGGTGGTTAGAGAAATTTCTACAAAAAACTATTGTTTTATTTAATCCCTGTTAAACTTTACCAGGGTACTCTTCCATAAGGGTTGCACTTGACGAAGCAACACCAAAGGTGATTAAAAGAGTGACATTTTTCTTTTCCATCATTGGTTACCGTGTGTGCTCATTTGCTTTTTGATAGCTGTGTGACTGGTTACGTGGGGGAGCGCTGTCAGTTCAGCGACTTGGAATGGTGGGAACAGCAGCATGTGGAGCAAATAAAGAAGCGGAACATCACAATTGCAGTTTGTATAGTTGTGCTGATCCTGCTGCTCCTGCTGGGATCTCTTGCTGCTTACTGTTACAGGTAAAACTTTCAATCACAAACTTACAACACAAGTCCTAGGTACCAAGAAGTTTTTGCATATAACTAATGGTGAAGTATAAGGGCTATGCCGGTTTACAGCAGCTGAGGATCTGACCCCACATGTATTTTGCTATTTTTTTCTTTTCAGTAATTTATCCTATGAATTATTCACATTCCTTAGGCATCTGAGCTCCTCTTCCTTGCTTGCAGTACACACATTGACATTAATGAGAGTTACATGTGTCGAGGGAGAAGGAGAATAGACCCTATTAGGTTTGAAGAGGATCCATAATTCGTATTGATGTGGGAGTTCAGAAGCATGCCCTATAATGCATATTTTTTCCCTAGGGTTTCTCTTCGGTAGCCCAGAGCTGCAAAGCAATTGGTAGGGCTTTGCCTCTTCTGTGATAGCAATCCCGTTAGGTTTTTGGGGGGCTGTGCCTGAGAATTTTCTTGGCATGGGAAGATTGGGTGTGTTCTCCGTCTATCACCAAGCTGTGCAATGATACATGTAGCAGAGCATGTTGAAGCAGTAGCTTGCCAGGTATTAGAAGCAGCAGCGACAGGGGTGTGAGTCTACGGTGTTTCAGTTGGGAAAGTTCTCCCATCTCTAATGACTCTTAGGGATTGCACAGGGATGTGCTGACTTTTGGTGGAAAAATGCCCTATAATCAATATGTTATTTATAAATACACTGTTCCTATAGATGACAGAAGGTCTCAATCTTGCATTATATTGCAACCCCCAACTAGCCCGTGTGTCACTGAGAGCTGAGAAAGCAGCATCAAACTCTAGGAAAGGGAATTTTCATGCAAATACCTGTATCTGTATTTAAGGACCTCATCACCCAACTGTTCTCAGAGGCTATAGTACAATCTTATAGGTTGTACTTTGAGAAAAATACCCAGCAGCCAAATCAAGACACCCTCCTCCTGCATAGATCAAAAGAAGGAAATAAACCTGCCTACTAGTGTGTGTGTGTGTGTGTGTGTGTGTGTGTGTATGCGCTCGCGTGTGTTTTGAAGATCAGAGTCCATTAGACACAAATAGCCACTGAAGTTAATGTAATTTTTTTCTTATTTAATTATTCATAGTATATTAGACCAAAGAACTGGAAGTGCTGCCATATTTCTTATGTTCTATTGACTGATTTTATAGCCCTGGATTTAAACCTAATTGCAGGTTGGCCTGTTTTCATGATTTGGGATTCAAAGCCAAGTCAGCTGAATTATGTATATAGAATAAATATACAGAGTTAGGATTTCTTAGACTCTTTGTCTCTTTAATTGAAACTGTCATTTTAACAAAGTGAAAGATACAGCTGGCTTTAAGGTGCAGGGGTATTCACTGATGCACTAGATTTCCCTCCCTCCCCTTTTTTCCTTTTCTTTCTTAGCTGCATTCTGTTAAAAACAAAATCTTTGTCATTTTGCCCTGATTTACTTTTCTTCTTTACCAAATGATTCTGCTCAATGTAACTGTTTACTTCAACAGCAAGTTTTCAGTTACATGCTTGACTGGCTTTGTACTACAGCTATTACTAGCCCAACTAAATCAAAATGAAACTACTGATCTAAAATCCCTATTTAAGTGGAGCCTAGAAACCAATATTTGGATTGAAATTGGTGTTTCATCTTTTCTCGTAGCTGAGTATATTTTGAAACATATTGATTACATTCCATAAACAGATTGGTAACACTCCTACTCTCCCCACATAAAACACAAACTCCTATCTCTTTGTAATTGCAAGGATCTAAGGCAAACTACATTTATTCACTTCCAAAATTTATAATCGAGAAAGCAAAAGGACTGATGCACTGTGTCAATGTGTTTAGTGGATATGGTCAAATAAAACAGAATTATTGTTGTTAATAATATTTAGCACCTTACATTTTTATAGTGCTGTAGCTGGATAAGCCTCATTTCACTTCTGTGAGGCAGGGAGGTATTAATATCCCTATTTTACAGGTGAGGAAAGGTGACTTGTCCAAGGTCACAGGACAAGTCAGTGGCACAGCTGGGATTAGAATTGAGAAGTTCCTGGTTCCTAGACCATGCTCCGTCAACTGGTGTCACTGTCTCTTCAAATTGTTCTCAGTTACACATGGAGATCCTCAAACCTGCCAAATTGTTTTAGCATGTGGTGTTCTGTATGCTTAAAAAATGAACAATAGAATTCAAACAATCCTGTTAAGTGGGATAGGCTGTTGTGAGCACATAGTTCCTGTGCGTGAGTTTTGCAGTGGGCCTGAGTCACTTCTGGAACTGTCAGGCACTAGTTCCCTTTGACAGTTGTCTGTAGAGTGCCAAGTGGTTCACATGTGGCTGCATGAAATACTATCTCTCCTCCATCCTGTCCCCTGTCGGGGATTTTTCTACATTTGAACCTCTCAGGGCATGTCACTCTGGGGGAGAGTCCTTGGCTTTGGAATTAACTTTCTCCAGTGATATATCAAAGCCTAGGTTTAGGGTGCAGGATGCAGTGCAGGACACATCTTCTTAGTCTCATGTTTAGTTTCTAGGGTCAGTAGCTAGGGCCAGGGAGGTACTTACTATATATGGTGGGATTGGGTCTGTCGTATCTCCACCAGAAGACAATTTTTGGTTTGTATTTAATTTTTATAAATGTGATAAAATATGACAGTTATGGGCATGATACAAATAGCTAATTAACATGTAAATACAAGGTGAAATAAAGAGGGAAATTTCCATTTAATCTAATAAAGATCAGTTGGTAATTGGCATTAAAAGTAGAGCTTATCAAATGCAGTAACTCAGAATGCACTAGAGTGAATCTGGAGACATCTCCCAAGTTAAGTTTAGGAGAGCGCATGGGTGACAGCTGAAGTATTAACTACTCTAGTTAATGTTTATCAGGAGAAAGGCTGTGTGTGTTTTCTAGTAAATGTATTCTGTCTGTGATCCCAATTCAGGAAACCACTTAAGCACCCGCTTAAAATGAAGTGGGTATTTAAACTCAGTTCCTCAATAGGGATGCTTTTCCGAAATGGGAGTCATAGTCATTTTCAGTCTCTACTATAGTGATCATTGTTCAACTGCTAAAATAGTGTGTTTGAATTGTGAAATTGACCACTTAGATCTGATTACTTCTATCTTTTTTTCTCCTCTTAATAATATTGTTGGCTTTTTTTTCAGAACTAAACAGTTTTCCTCTTATATAACTATCCGTGGTAGACTTACTCCAGTGTTTTGTGTTCTTAGAATTTTGAGTACTCTAGGTTATTAGTAATATTTACTATATGATTTTCTGAACGTTTGTTGATGTCATTCATGAAAAACAATGAATAAAAAGTAGGGCTGGATTTTCAGAATTGTATATGCTCAAATAAGCATGCAAGAATGTGTGCATATTTATTTCCCTGACTTACACAAACAATTACAGTGACTGGACAAACTGTCTTAGCATTTGTGCATGAGTAGTCCTGAGTACCTGGCCTTTAATAAAGAAGAAAAAAGCCAAATTTGTAAATCAACAAATATTACAATAATAAACAATATTATATTTGTTTACTATTCCCTCCCAAATCCTCATCGCAATTGTTATTTTTATAAACTACATGATACTGAAGGCACATTGTCGCAAACATTTTACTACTGCACCTACTACTGTTTGAACCATTCCACTTTTGTCAAGTCAGGACTTTTTAACCACACATCTGTAATTCGTAGTATTGTACTAATTGGTCTGTATGAAAGAAAACAAAATACATCCACTCATTTGTCAATATTAGCAAAATATTACCCTTCGCCAGTAAAATAAAACATAGAAGTAAAATGGCATCTGTTCCTCCCAATGACAATTAATTTGTCTGGGCTTTTGTTCTGTTGCAGAAGTCAGAACTTTTATAAGAAGAATCCATATGCGGAAGCGATAAGAAATGCCAGCAGCAGCAGCAGTGCCGACAGTGAGAACGTGACACCTACTAGCAATAAGTCTCGGGTAACTATATTAATATGGAAGTAGGAAGGATCAAAGGGTATTAGGGATCCACTTGAGATTATCCATCAAATAATTCTCATCTTAACTATATTAAATAACTGCTAGAGTCATCAAATACTTTGCTGTGAACCGTAGTTCATCTTACCTCATTGTTATCCCTCAAAGTTCACAGCTGCCTGAATGTATTGCAACCATTAGCCGGTGTTATTGTTAGCTTTGAACACAACAGTTGGAACTGTGTTCTAAATTAAGGAAATGGCAATGTGATGACATGGCATATCACTGAGTTATTTTCACAGGAAAGTATGTCCTCCCTGTAAAAGTTTTCTTGGAAGCCAAGTATTCTGCATGCTAGGCGAGATGTCGAACTTTATATTTGGGTTTGATGTAGTTAAATACCTTTGTATCAGAAGCAGCCTTGGAAAGACAAACATCCAATCTATTATAGCAGCTTGTGGGTGAGAGAATATAAAATATTCTTCTAACCATTTTTTCTTGATGCAGAGGGTCAAGTTCTCTTCATGGTCAGACTCATCCAAGTGTGTTGAAGTCACTGGGGTTGCACCAGTGTAATAGAGATAATTTGGCCCCATAAAATCTACATTATGGGCTTGATTTTCATTTACACTAAGACTATTTTATACTGCTCTGACACAGTAACCGAGCCTTTAAGTGGTGCTAAATTACACACTTTGCAAATATGGATACACTGACATTTGCTTTAAAACCCCTTTTCACTGCCAGGGTTATGTAAAGTGGCCTAAAGCCTTCTCTACACACACAAGTTATACAGCTTTTCAGTATAATTAAAGTAGTACATTGCCCCCCTACTCCCCACCTCCCGCCTCTGTGCAATGTGGATTCAGCACTTATATAGTGGAATAGTTTATTCTTGTATGGGAAAGGCAATAAGCTATACCAATATAAGGTAGCTGTATTGCAGTATAACTGTGTCCACACTACAAGTTGTATCAGTATCACTATTTCAGTTAAAAAAAATCACATCCCTTACCTACATAATTATACCAGTACAAAAACTGTGTATAGACCAGGCCTTAGTGTAAAAGAGACTCATGCCCTAAATGTTTTTTTTAAATAATTCAGATATTAGATTTAATTCTAGATTTGATCTTGAATAAAAATTCCCTATCTTGAAACTATTGCACCGAATCTCCGAATCCAGAGAGATTCCGTTTACAGGCCTTGCCAGGTTTGTTTGTAAATTAATACATGTGAGGGGCTGGAAGATTTTAAATAGCATGTAACATGTATCTGCTCTGAAGATTTTTCTTTTTTTTTAAGCAACAGTAAAATGACATTTTGCAAATGGACTGGATTGAAGGTCTGGCTGTGTTTGCAAGTGGGTGGCCGCTGAAACGTGCGGTTAAACCTATGCAAGGCATGTTGAATGGACTTGACCATGGTTGCAGCATGAAATAATTCTTTAGCTGGTGAGGCCTCGTGCTCCTGTGGACCTTTTATTACCCGCATTTCAGTTGCTGAGCCAGTCGGCACTTTGTTCCTGCAGGTATCAGATAGCAAATGCGATGAATCTGAGCCATGCTGGCATTTGTTCATGGGCAGAGAAGAAAAACACAGTTTGCAAAGTAGCTGATGTTTGGGAAATCAGAAACATTTGTTGGAATCGAGAAAAGCCTGTTGGCTTGGATCTGTGTATTAGGAGGCCTTTGGCTGATCAGCATGGCCCCCACCAGCATTTGTCCCTGCAGTTAATACCAACTGCTGATGACGTTTGCATTGAGTATGGGGGTAATTAAACAGCTAAACAATGAACTGAGTCAACAAAAACAAATCCGACCTACCTAATATACATTCTAGTGATGAATTTCACCACCTACATTCTTCTACTGGGGGGTGTAAAATATATATTCAATAAAGTGACTCATTTCAAATGACTTGTTAACGGCTCAGCAAGTAATCACTGCCCCACTGCTATTACTTTCTCTTAGAAATAGAATATTTTTGCATCATGCATTTGATTTGCTCAGTGATGATGTAGCCATGAGGATTAAATACCATGGCATCTTCAGACATACTTGGGATGGGAACAGCATCATTGCCAAGAAAAGCACTGGACAGTAATCCACTCCCACTGTTCACTCAGAAGGATAAGCTTTGTGGGTTTTATTTAAAAAGAAAATTCAGTTACTTTCTGGGGCAGAGACTGTCTCTTCATCTGTGCCTGTATCGCTCCCAGCACAATAGGCCACCAATCCTGGTTAGGATCTTTGGGTGCTACCAAAGAGTAAAGGGTTAATAATAATATTTAATAATGAATTACTTAAATAGTGGGTGGATCATATGCTATGATAATACACGTAATAAATAATGCTAATAATGCAACCTGGAGCTGTAAACTGTTAATGAGATTCGCCCCTTTCCTGGCAAATAGTCCCAGTACGCAGTGTTTGTGTAGCTAAAAGAGGGTTTTGGGGAATGGAATCTCCTCTCTGATCTCTGGGCCAGGTGCAAGGCAGCTTCTATGCCTTGTCCCTATTTGGGCCCACCCGCACTCCCCCAGCTGTGAAATACGTGCATGCAAGGGGTCTAACGTTTCCCACCAGCTGCAATCAATTGCCATGGCGTCAGTTACTGGAACTGCCTGGGTAAAACGGTTCAGTTACTCCTGCCCCCTATGCCAATGTCCTCTCTCTCTGCCTCCATCCTTCCAGCTGAGGGAGAATGGTTGCAACTAGCCTTGTGCAAAACATGGCAGTTTGCTGCATGTGGGGGTTATGGCAACCATTCCTTCACTTTCACACTAAGGGGGTTCACAGCCTTGAGTTTCATATAGACTTTCAGATTCAAATAAACACAAAACACAAAGAAAAACTCAATTGAAGCTGTCAGTTTTCACCATGTTTTTGTCAAACCCACATTAAGCCGTGTATTTCGCAATCATAAACCGGGCCAGGTTCACTCAGGAGGTGTGGGATCCTTGGCCAACTGTTAGATGAGCCTATTCTGGGCTTTAGTTTGTTCTGAGACCTGTAATCCAGCAAGTTTAGCTCTACTTTGCATTATGTTCCAGATATTTGAAAGGCTGCTGTAGAGTCCACCATATGCCTGTTACAACTGTAGGTCTGGAGATTTTTTGCATGTGAATCAATGCCCAAATATGCATATTAGATAAATGTGCATTGTCTTATTTGCATAAATCCATCATTCCACCCCCCAACCCCCACTCCGGCCAACATCAGATATTGCTCTAATTTCTCCCTCCATACCTTCCCTCTGCCTCCCATCTCTGAACATCCCTCTTCCATTTCCCTCCCCTCTTTTTAGGTATCCCTCACCATCAGTTTCCCCGTTCCCCTTTATCTCTGTCTCCCACCCCTTTTCCCTCTTTTCTTTCTGATTCTTCCCCCACACTGCCCTGTTGAGTTTCCCCATCTCCCTTGGGGCAGTCTCCTAACCTCCAGAAGGGGCAGGGTCTCCTTCTCCCTTATGTCCATGGAGTATGTGTGGTGAAGACTTGGGAGTCACTATCATGGTTTCTTCCTAGCCTGCTCTGGAGGATTTCCTCGCTCTCCTGTTCTGGGCTGCTGCCTACTGGCCATTGCCTGCAGACCTGGCGCTCTGCACTGCTGAGCAGCTGGTGACTCACTCCCCAAAGAGAAGGGGAAAGTAAGGGGCAGGTTTTTACAGGTATGTAGGTGCCTAAAGATGCAGATACACATCAGGAGGATTTACAACAGTGCCGAGGTGCCTAGCTCTGAAATCAATGAGAGTTAGGCCCCAGGTCCCTGGGAGAGGGCTGAGCCTGTGGGCTGATTTCAGATGCCTTCTCCTGGGCTCCCAAAAGGCTCACTGAAAAACTGCTCAGGAACCTAGGAGCAGGCACTAATGTAATTAGCTGGATAGAAGGGAATCATGCTGGAGGACATTAGGCACTTTTCTCCACCATATGGGCTGAGCATGCTGCCTGTGCAGCACAATGACTATTGTTTATGAGTGTGGCTCACTGTATGTTACTCTGAGAAAAAACAATAGGTTGTCTACTATATTTGTGTATGTTTTCCAGTTCATTGTTGTGATGGCATGTAACAGTCACAAGGAAGGCAGAGCTGTCAATCTAATGGACTGTGAGAGGACCGATCACGGTCACCCCTGCCCTTCGGAGTCCGGTGAGTAGGATTTTCTTTAATCTTTGGCAGCAGCTTTACTTGGAAAAATCTAACAGCTATCACCGCAGAGTGTGTCCTTGTATACAGCAGTTAGTCAGCGTTACAGCACAAAAGTGGTCATTCCTGGCCCCTTAGTGAGGAGACAGCATTACAATCCGACAGCTTCTCAGACAGCTTGGGGTTCTGATGTAAATATCCTGGTTGGCAAGTACAGTCTTCATCTTGCCAGAGATCTCGTTTGTTGATGTTCAAGAAGGATCTTGCTTGAGAGAGAGGTAAATTGCTATTCACAGTTTAAATAGTTCCAACCTAGAGTGGCAATTCAAAGACAAGGCATACGTGAGCCACATCCTGCAATGTGGCAGTCAGTTCTGCCAGGAGAATCATGAGGAAGTAAGGAGCCTAGAAGTGCTCCTTGAGCCAAAAATACTCAAAATGTAGTGGGTAGTGATCCTTTCAAATCCCCTAGTTTTTGCCTGAGCAGATGCGATGGCTTTACTCAGAAACACACTGTGAACTTTTTTCAGAGTAGCAGCCGTGTTAATCTGTATCCGCAAAAAGAACAGGAGTACTTGTGGCACCTTAGAGACTAACAAATTTATTAGAGCATAAGCTTTCGTGGGCATCCGAAGAAGTGGGCTGTAGCCCACGAAAGCTTATGCTCTAATAAATTTGTTAGTTAGTCTCTAAGGTGCCACAAGTACTCCTGTTCTTTTTACTGTGAACTTTGTTATTTTTTCCACAAAAGCTGTATTTCTTTATTTGTTATGTCATTGAGTCTCTCCCAATGACTTTGTGTTATTCAGTGGGGATTAATGACATTTACATTTCGATTAGGGAGTCGAAAGCTGCACTGAACATTGAACTCTTAATGTCCATTTGCATTCCCTGGCCCTGATTCACCACCATATTGGAGGGAAGCAGGTGCCAGGGAGCTGGTAGAGGGTTCTTGATTTCAGGGTATAACCCTGACATAAAGTCCTTAACACCATAGATGGAGCTCAGCTCTGCCATGCCCCTATGACATTCGCCCATCCTTGACATGCTCCCTTCTGCCCCTTACA